GGTCACTTGTAATGGAAATCTCAACATGCAAAGCATGGATTTTCCCGGACCAAATGAACACACAAATTACAAGCCATCAAAAATAAATGGATCCGGTGGCATGCACCACTCACATGAACTGGAAGTGAATCCTTCAACCAAATCAACAAAATTTAAAATAATAAGAAAATTGAGGAGTGCTAGCAGTCCTTCCAAACTAAGATTGGCAACAGATAGTCCAACTAATGCAGGTAATATAATGACTGAAAAGAGCTCATCCATGGATCAGGATGCGGTTTTGGAAATGCAAGAAAATGGCGAAGGCTCTAGCAGATCAACTTCATATGAAAAGAACAAGCTTTATAACTATGGAACTGGTTCTGTTATTGAACAACATGATTCACATGCCATTGACTCTCATGCTCTACAAAGGGATCTTTCTGAAGCTTCTGGCAGAGCAATATGCAGAACAAGATCCATGAAGACAAAGGCAACTTTAGAGGAGCCAGATACTAGAGCTTGTAAGTTGAAGGTAAGAGTAAACCAGGCATCAAAGGTTCCATCAAAGAAACTAGAAAGGTCCTCAATGAGAGCATGTGATCAGCTCCAAGCTGGAGAATCGGCATCGAGTTCAAGAGTGGGGGCCAGATCAAGGTCTGGCAGAAGTAAGCGATATGGAGGTTCTGATAATAATCCAGACATTTCAGCTGCAAAGAAGTCAAATAATGTTTGTAGAAAGTTATCTTGGTTGATGTTGTCAGAGCATGAGGAGGGTTACCGTTACATCCCTCAGCTAGGGGATGAGGTTGTATACATCCGTCAGGTACTTTATATTTTTTTTCTTTGAAAGAACTTCCAATTGGTATGCTCTAACTGTTCTTTTACACCTTTTAACATCTAAGTTACTTTCAGTTCAAAAATACTAATTCCAGAAAGTAGAAATAAGAATATAACAGAAATGAGATAAGGTTGACATGAGAATAGTTTTAAGTCCAAGTTTTGTTCAAGTCGGTTGAATTTTTCCTACCTAGCCAAGATTCAAAAATTCATCTTCAAGGAATTTAAGATAGGCATTCAACTTTTTAAACTGTCAAATATAAAATTATGATCCATTTCTAAATATTAAAGATATCCTAATACAGAATAGGAAATGAAGCAAACATGGTTTGAAGTGTATTCCTGTTTTCTGAATTAATATTTGAATCTCTCTTCAGGGCCATCAAGAGTTTGTTGAGAATCAAGGCTTAGCAGAATTGGGTCCTTGGAAGTCACATAAGGATTCTCTAAGGGCAGTTGAGATATGCAAGGTTGAGCAACTTGATTATGCCACATATCCAGGTTCTGGGGAGAGCTGCTGTAAAATCACCCTTAAATTTGTGGATCCTAAATCACGTGTCAGTGGTATAACATTCAAGTTGA